GAGAAGTCGTGTGGAGACCCCTGCCAGCGCTGAGATGCTTACAACGCCACTGGATCCACAAGACTTCCCACCCACTGGCCTGTGATCTTCCTGCATTCGGTATCATTGCATGTGTTGCATGAGTCTGAAGAGGAATTTATAGATTGGCATCAGACATATGGGCTAATATTGAACTTGTGGACGATCTGGGCTGGGCTGGGATGTTTTCTCAAAATTCAACTGCTCTTGTGTATAAAGCTCTTTCTTATACACATATGTGTGTCCACGGATTTGTTTCTCTAGTCTACCTGGACTAGCACAGATGTACATATCTGAGATCGGACTTCATTGAAGGAAAAAGTAGAACTGCCACCTCCTGCCTGCTCACAACATCGGGAGAACTTTGGGTTGCCAGATTAGAGACAGAGCAGCTGTGGCATTTGAATTTCGGGCCAGCGAGGGCTACATTTTGCCATCTCAGTCTATCCTGCGTTGTACTGGGGACACCCATGCACCGAAAGCCAGCCCAGTCACCATGGATCTGAAATGCAAACAGAGGGTGGTAGTCCACGTCTCGACCTGTGCGCCACGTGAACACCACACGTCGGCAACTGTGGTCTTAACCCCAGGCTGAACCAGGCAGTCCTGCCTGCAGGGTCCCTACCTCGAGGTCCTCGTCAGTAAAGTCAATGACCGAAAAGGCGCTGGACACCGTTTCCCAGTCGCTCTTGTCGTTGATGGACAGCTCTTTGGCACAGTGACCCTGTGGACACAGAAGTGGGCCACTCTCATGGCATTTGATCCCAGGACAGTTAGGCGGGCACACAGTTAGCGCTCCATCAAGACGTTTGCTCTGTTTCTGTACGGATGCCAGAGCGGGCCCTGCCCTGGTCACAAGGCAGAGAGCGGGGTCCACTCTCACTGTCCTGCACCTGTGGGGTTTGCTGAGTGCTAGTTCTCCCCAAAGTCATTTGGAAATTTGATTCTGAAAGCCCTCCTCTGGTGGTCTTCGTGGTGTAGTGGGTTACATGGTGGGCCACTAACTGGCAAGGTCGGCAGTTCAAATCCACCAGCTGCCCCGAGGGAGAAAGATGAGGCTTTCTCCTTCTGTACAGCTTTCCCGTCTCAGAAACTCATGGGGGCAACTCTGTCCTCTAGGCTCCCTCTGAGTTCCAGTCCACTGGGTGGCAGTGAGTTTGAGTTTTGCCCGGGGGAGTGCTAGGTGGCACAGGGGCGAGAGAGCCCGACGCTGGTGACCACGGCTGAGAGGGCCTCACACGCAGGGTTCTGTGAGTGGGATTTAATTGACTGTGTGTGATGTGTTCAAGGTGTGTGTGTGGTGTGTGTGTCATGTGGTGAGTGGTATGTGTGCATGGTATGTGTGTGTGTGGTGTGCGTGTGCGTGGTGTGTGCATGCGTGGTGTGTGTGTGGTGCGTGTATGATGTGTGTGTGTGTGGTATATGATGTGTGTGGTGTGGTCGGTGGTGTGTGTGTATGGGGTGTGTGCATGCATGGTGTGGATGTGTGTGGTGTGTGTGTGCTTGTGTTGAGCATGATAACATGTGTACATGGTGTGGGGTGTGTGTATGTGTTGTTGCTCTAGGAAAACCTTAAATGTTCCTATTAATGATAGATATTTGGGGATGTTATAAAAATGGTTTTTCTAGCCTCTTTTTTAGCTAATAAGAAACATTTGTCTCAATAAACATCTGCCGGAACAAGCAGGGACATGACAGTGCTTACATCCAAAAGACAATCTGGAAAAAAAGAAACCCGCGTTGTTTCCCACAGCTGGTCTTGATGTATCTTTGAAAATAAAAGGAAACAGGTTAAAAAAGAGACAATCTTGACCCGCTTAGCAACCATGGGGCTAAAAGCCGCAGCGGGAGGAAAAACAAAGCCCCACCAAGCTCTCCATTTCCCCGCCACCCCAGGTCTCTGTTGTCACTTCTCTTCCGTCTCCACTTTCTTCCCACGAGACTTTCAGGACCAAGAGGTGCCCCGGCCGAGAAACAGGAGCAGCTCAACCCACGCCCCAGTGGATGTGCATGAAGACAGATCCTGAGAGCCGGGCAGCTCCAGAACAGACACTGGAGACCTCGGCTGGGCTGCGAGGAGCCCCTCCCTGTGTGAAGGAGTGCCCCGCCCCCCGCCCCCCAGCATCAACCGAGGCTCACGGGCAAGACTCAGCCACCGTCCGATCGATTCAACTTGTATGGACAGACATCTGGTTTCTTCTCTAATAACATCCATATCAAGAAGTTAATAACGAATAAATCATGCAAGGCGATGGCTAGGGGGAACAAAACAAACAACTCCACCACAGGACAGGTGGACTTAAAATCTGGACTAGAGCCCAGCCTGACAACCCCACGTACAGAGCAGGACTGCTGCTAGGGACCTTCTGGACGGTGCCCTTGACAGACCAAGGTCACCAGGCCTTTCTTCCACGGTGCCCGAGGTAGCGGTGCTTCATGGGAGCCAGCCAACCATCAGCAATGGACTACACATTTCACGTGTCAGTCACCAACCCCCCCGCCCAGAGTCTGTGGACGTGGCCCCCGGTGGAGGCTCTGACTTCTCCCCACTCATCCTAGAAGCTGGCTCTTAAATCAACTGCGAGCCAACACAGGCTACACCGTAAAGGGGAGCGATTCGAATGGAGTTTTTAGAGAGTCCTTGTGCTCTTGGGGCACCGATGTGGTAGAGGGTACCAGGAGCCCAGGTGGCGTAACAGTGGGTTATGCGTTGGGCTGTTTGCTAACCACAAGGTCAGCGATTCAAACTTGCCAGTCACGCCCTGGGGGGAAGATGGGGCTGCCTGGTTCCATGAAGACCGTGTTCCTGGGAAACTCGGGTCGCGGTGAGTCGGAATCGACTGGATGGCTGGGAGCTTGCTTAGGGAGTTTTTGTGGGTAGGGGAGCCTGGTTCCCTTCGGTCTCCGTGTAGTTGTTACTGTGAATCATTTTCTCTTGGATTTTGCAACGATTCTGTTCATATCCAGAAGCTAGGGTGGGGCCGGGAGGGAAGCTGCTTTTTCCCTTTAATCCGTGGGCAAATGTCAAATACATGGATGG